TATATCAGCAGAATTCTAATGTCAAGTAAAAGTTCACATTGTGCTTTAGTTCCTTAAATGTGCGTTCAAAGAATTAAGAAATTTCAAAACATATAAGAACTATAGTGCCTAAAAGGAGAATCATAAAAATAACATGCACAAAGTTGCTTGCTGCAAAGTTCAAAATACAAGAGCTTATACTTATAACTGTACATAGAGTATAAGCTAACAGAACCTGTTTGGAGCACATTTATCTTTTTAAAAATTTTAAGTAAATGGAAAAATAAGATTCAGTTTTTCATAGAATATATTGTTCTTTATGTTGAGAAATATGCATACTCATAAGTTCTTGTAATTTTACTTTAATGGGAAAGAAACAGTACTTATCCAGCTAAAACTAAATGATGTTCCAAAATAATCACATGATCTTGTAAACATAACTTTGTCCTTCGTAACAAGGACTGTGGTTTTATTGAGGTGCTGCAAGAAATTTTACTTGCTTACATGATCCCACAAATAATTGTGTAACCTTCTGCCTTGAAGAAGAAAAGTATCTTTCAATCCATATGTCTAATACAGTATACAGAGTTTTAAAGTATGTATATACATATTATTTTCCAAAATGGAAATTTCAATAGTATGAAAATAGTTTGACGATTTAACATATAGGTGATAAACACATTGTACTAAACCTGCTACCCCTATAAGGACATTTACTTCTATGCTAAAATAATAATATTTCAGAAGTTTTGTCTCCCTCATGTTTTGCACATGAGAAGCTTTATTTCAAGCAAGCGATAGCTAGTGATACAAAAACATTTGAAGTCTAATTAAAAATGTTGCACTGAGGTTCATATGTTTATGAACATGCAAATTGAATAAAACACTAATATAACCTGATCATGTGGAAGTCAATTTTTAATACTATAACACTAGACATTTTGCTCTTTTGTGTAACATATCCAGAAATGTATTCCTACATTTGTTTACACACACAAAGTTCATACTTTTGAGTTTGAAGATGTCGAAGCATTAAAGAGAAAGTTCTGTGTTTTTTGTGACTGCATAAAATAAAGAAAATGATTACTGTTATTCTTAATCAGGACAGGGAATTTTGTACACATAAATGTAAGCAAAGGAAAGTTAACAGATACTCCTGAGGTAGAGGACCTTGGAACAGTAGTGGCTGAGATGATTCTGGCATTTCTTGCCATTCATATAGCTTAGATCCCCATTCTTCTATGTTTTACACAAGTGAAAACAAAGTTATGAACACATTCAGAAACACCACAGGCATGAAGGAGGGATGTATGTGTGAGGGTTAGCATGTGCATCTTTGTGTGTGTCTGTGTGTGCATGATTGAAACAAAATTTCAGAGAACAGTGTGCATCGTATGTACTCTAGTGGTTTGTATTTTATTATATGCCATTCTATTACATTGGAATATTTATTTCCCAGCTCATGTAATGGATTTCATGGTCCAGTAATGAGCTGCAAACAATACCTGGAAAAACACAGGCTAAGGTAATAGAAACATAAATATCATAATAACTAAATAAAAATGTCTTTCTGCTCCTACCACTGCAATATGGTACCACCTAAAACCAGAATGGCACTGTGTTAATTAAACCATTTTGCTTTGGTAAACTTGAAGCAAAACGGTTTTACCGTAATTTAGAGAAGAAGGATATTCATGCATCCAGGTTTATTTGACTTGTTACTATATAACTATACATAAGGCACATCATATTTGATAAAGCATGAGAAACTTTGGTAGCATACAAATTTTAAACTAACGACATTCTTTTGAGAAATTTGATAAATACTGTAAATTTATCTGGAACAATGTATATTCATGAATAACGCAGAAAATGATAAAATCATAAAATAAGACTTGGCTTTGAGATCTAAAATTATTAGGAAGCTATAACATGCTTCAGTAGATATAAAGTGAATAACCCTTAAAATAGTACATATGAATACTATCTGCCACATAACACACACACACACACACACACACACACACATATAAACTCTTTTGAGAAAAGAAATACTGAAGATAAAAATTTAAAGAGTAAGAGCATACTGGGTATCACTACCCTGAACCAGAATAAAATTCTGAATATGCTTTTTCTCAAAATTTCTCTGAATATACATTTTTTTGAGACTGGGTTTCTTTGAATTTTAAGGTTGGTCTTGAACTTATTATGTAGCCCATTGTGGCCTCTGACTTGTAGTAATTCTCCTGCCCCAGCCTCCTGAGTGCTGGATTTACAGGCATGCACCATTTGCCACTATGCCTGGCAAATTTTCTCATGGTTTTAACTCTGACAACCACATGACTATTTTACATTTTCAAAATTAAAAACAAAAGGACATGCAGTGTATGCAGGGTAAAGCAAATCAGTGTTCATATGAAGGTTCTTAAAAACCAGTAAGTTAGCATAATTATCAATATTAAGTCAGAAGATTATCTAGTTAAATTCTCGGTAATAATGTTAGATTGGATTTCAAAATAGCAAATGGAACACTTTTACCCCTAGAAATATGTATAGGAATTTCTTGCTTAATATCAATAATCTATTTTGAAAACTGTACCTTGCAAGCATGTTTTTAATAACATTAAATGGGGAAAAAATTATCATTAACTGTAGGCAAACTCCAAACCTGTAGGTAGCCAATTTCGTATAAAGTCACATACACAATAATGACTATAGAATGGTAACAACATATCTTGATAGGACCTAAAATGGTACACATTGCTTTGTGATCACCCAGTGTTTTTACTATTATTATGATACAGTTGATTGCGCGTAGTTACGTGCATTGTCCACATGCTGCATGAGAAGCTGTTTTTGATTGGATATAGTAAATAACAAAAAAATAAAATATCCAGATTCAGGTGGACACCCTGTACTAGCTTTTTTTCACTAAGCTAAAGGAGACCTGACATTTGAAGATGAGGGTGGAAGAGAACAGACACAGGGATGCGTTGACAAGAGCGCACAGCGATCCATACTGGTGACTGTGCACTGCTGCAGACTGCTGGCCAGGACAGCTCTGACGGATCCTCAGAGACGGTGTTCAAACTGAAGGAAGGCACATTTCCTTATTCTGTCAGAAATCGGTTCATATGGTTTAAAAAATCAGACAGATTTTTACATAAATTACCAATTGACTATAAACCAGGATGTCTCAAATAGTAGATCTACTGGCCATTCAGCTCCCTCGGGCTTCTGATGGCAGACTTAATGGTGACCGCAGACGTGGTGCTGTAAGTCCGGGAACCACCAGCCACCGTTTTCTTGCAGTTACCACAGTGCCAGGTCCTACAGCCCATCTGTCCCTTCTTGGTCTTTTCACTGAAGGAGCAGGTGTACGTGTAGTATGGGCTGATTTCAGTTTTCTTCACCATTTTCCAAAAGAAGGTGCCATGGTGGGGCCCATATTTACCAATGATTTTGACTTCTGTATGTGGGACCACATTGATGGCATCAAGGTCCCCAAGCCCAGAGAGGACAAAATCAGGCTATTTTTGACAAGAAAAATCTGAAAAAAATAATCATAACAAAAGAAAGGTCTGTCACCACGTTGAGACTTTTTTTCCCAACATCTAAAACCCATGAACTGCTTACATGCAGAGCTCTTCTAAAAATGTGTACAGGTGATGGTTATATTCTGTCAAGCTGGAGTGCAGGCAACCCTCTTCCGCCACAGAATGTTGTTCACAGCATTGTATTGAAACGGACCACGATGAGAAATGTGTAACTAATATTCCCATTTGACATCTCCACAAAGATCCACTGAGAAATGAAGCAGTAAGAGATGTACATATTCTCTGAGGTTATTAAAAGCCACGTTGCCTCCACTGGGTAGACATCAGCCAGGGAAATGTTCTGTGGGGCATTCTGACATTTTCTGACATTTCTTCTCACTGCAAAGATCTACAAGTAATTAATCCAATTGTACTGGACGCACCAATCCCAAATGATAACCTCGAAAGGCTACTAAAAAAATACCTTGAAGGAATGGTTGATTCCAAGCATGACAAAGAAAATAAACTAGGTGAACTTGTTCTGTTCAACTCAGAGAACAGATGCGGTCGGACTGAAGGGTTGATGTATGCTTTAACACATCAATAGTGAAACAGTGGAAGCATCAGAGGAGTAACTGGTGTGCTTAACTGAGGACGATACACTCATAATTTTTACTAAAGCAAATAAGGAATATTGGAAGGAGGGAAGATAGGAAAGGAAGAAAGAGGAAGGGAAGGAGGGAGGAAGACGAAAGGGAGGAGTGAGGGAGGGAGACACAAGGTAGAAAGAAACGGAAGAACTGGAGATGGCAGGTTAAAATGGGAGAAGGAAAAAGGGTCAGATCAACACACAGCATGCTTTTTTGATATCTTTCTTTGGTTGAGCACTGAATGGAAATTGCATATTTTAAGGGAGGCTTAACAGCTATATAGATCTGTGTTTAATATATTTTTTTTATTTTTTATAAACATTTTTGAAAAAGCCAAAAATTTTAAGCAATTTAAATATTTCTATAACAAATTAGTGCAATAAATGGTGACACATATTTTTAATATTGTATTATACAGCCACTAAAAATAATGACATAGAACTTTACGAAGGAACATGTAAAGGTGCCTGTAATGTACTATTTAGTGGAAAAAGAAAATGTCAAGGCAATGCAAAACTCTTTCTCATGCTTTTAATACACTAAAAACATTTTGTGACTGCAGATGTAAATATATTTGCTTTAAAAAACTATAAGTCAAGAGTCACGTATGATCTTACGACTAATAATGGTCACTCCTGGAATTAGAATTTTACAGCAACTGTGGGTGAGATAGTTTGAGAGTGAACCTTCACATTTCATTTAATATATTATTACGTATTTTAAAGTTTTCTTATTAGCATGCATCAATTTGGAATACATAAATGAGAAAGATGATAAGGTGATCACTTCTGTGTGCCAGTTAGATATTGCTTAATCCCAGCTCTCTCTCCCAAAGGTGTCAAGCTGCCAACAAGACTTGCCCCACAAATTACATGTGGAATAATCACATCTGCAGATGCCTGGCTCAGCAAGATTTTATTTTCTCCTCAAGTGCTGGAGATGGTAAGTAGAATCTTATTTTGCTCTGTACATGCATATGGCCTACACTTTTATTAGCATGTGTTTTGTGAATATTGTGCAATATTCAGAACATCATTGTTTGAAATGCATGGCTCTAAACCATACATTTCTTGTTTCGTGCTGGCATTAGTTTTAGCGTCTTCCTAAAGGAACATGCCTGTGTTTGTGCACATTCCCTTAATGAAAAGCATAAATAGGAAGTTGCTTTAAAACGCATTCATTTCATACCACACCCAGAATAACGTACGATACAGTGATGTTGTGTTTGTCTCAACTTAACAGATGGATTCCATGACATCTGCGGACCCAACAAGGAGCTGGATGAAGAGACCTGCCAGTGTGTATGCAGAGGGGGCCTTCGGCCTTCTAGCTGTGGACCCCACAAAGAAATAGACAGGAACTCATGCCAATGTGTTTGTAAAAACAAACTTTTCCCCAGCTCGTGCGGAGTCCACAGGGAATTTGATGAGAACACATGCCAGTGTGTATGCAAAAGAACCTGCCCAAGAAATCAGCCACTAAATCCTTTAAAATGTGCCTGCGAATGTACAGAAAGTCCACAGAAATGCTTGCTACAAGGAAAGAAATTCCAGTATCAGACATGCAGGTAAGGGACCTTGACAGTAGCGTTGGTTTCTGTTATTGGAAATACAATCTTCTCAACCAAAAGCAGTGTTCTTACTCACAGTTGCTTTTTAGAATGAGTCCAGTAAGTTTAGGAAGGGAAACTGGTGTGCTTTAACAAATGCTAAACTTTAAGATTGGATTTGCTCCCCAAAAAGCACAGTAGGAGTGTTGGGGACCAAAACAGACCCAAGTTCAAGATAAACTCCAAATCCTGTCCCAGAGGCTAAGGAATACTGTGCGATACAAATTAGAGGGCTTGCATATTATTTTCAAAATACATCCAGACAGTTCACACCTGCCCTAAACAGAAATACTTTCCAGTGTAATTTAGGATAAACTAAGCACAGGCATTTTAGTGTAAAATTTGTGGATAAATAACCACAATGATTCCATTTAACGTTAATAGGAAAATAAAATATTTATGCAAAGTGTTTAGTAGAGTCAGGGAAATAAATCAGTGTTATCAAGGTTTTTGGGGACGCGTTTTTTTAAGCCTTGGTTTTATTCATCAAGGAAAAAAATGAGGTTATTGAACTCAAAGACTTTCAGTGTTACTCCCTGAATTTATGTCTCTTTAATGTCAGAAAATCAGGTGAACTATATAAACTAGATCTGTGCGCTCTCTCTCTCTCTCTCTCTCTCTCTCTCTCTCTCTCTCTAAATATATATATATCTATATATATAGATATATATCATATATATCAGGTGAACTACTATGTAAACTAGATCTGTGCTATATATATATATATATATATATAGCTTAACCATGTTCTTTCAATATTGCTTGACCAGTTAAGCCTTCTTGCTTCTGTAACTTTAATATCTCCAGCTCTCTTTTTACTTTCCCTGGATTTATAAAAATTCCCAGTTTCTTATTTCATTAATGTCTGACTGTAACACTGAGCTGAGCGTACTCTAGCACCAAGGCCCGACTTCTCAGAACCACTCAGAATCTAAGGGAATGGCACTGGCTTTCACCTCCCTTTCACCTCCCACTTACTCAGCCAGCTGGAGTCTGGTGTTAGTTAGAAGCAAGCTTCAGGGAGCCCCTGAGTTGCCACTCGGAATAATGTTGTCTTCATGCAGTCTGCCCTTCCTACCAGCTTTTTCTGTACACTCTCCTCCTTTTTGTGTAGATTGTGTAGATTTCTCCTCCTTTTTGTGTAGATTGTTCTTGCCTGGTTGCTCATTTTCAGAACATTTGTTTTTAATCATTTTCACTGATTCTTTTCCACCACTCTCATTTTAAATATGAGTAGTATCTTTTTCAGCAGATAAAAACATATCTATCTATTCACAATGTAGCATTCCCAGCCATGTTCAGCATTACTTACTAAGGGAGAGTCTATCACTGTGTACTTTTAATTTAATTTATATTTCTGAAATTCTTTCTGCGTTAGCATTTTAGTTACTTATAAAGAGGCTGTAATGAATCTCATTGATTATTTTTCCTCCCTTATGTCTACAGATACCTTACAAAAATCCAGAGTACCTTATAGAAGTCCTATTTAGAATATTTGAGAAATAATTATCTTGCAAAATTTACTTGCATATTCCTACACCGGTTACCAAAAGTGTGCTTCAGAGGTCTACTTGCGAGCTGGACATGGTGGTACAGACCTGTAATCCCAGCACTTAGGAGGCTGAGACAGAAGGGTGTCCATGAGCTGAAGGCCAGCCTAGGCTCTATAGTAAATTGAAGGCCTGCCTGAACTACATAGAGAGATCCTGTTTCAAAAAAACCAAAATAAACACACACACACACACACACACACACACACACACACACACACACACCCAGAATGATGTAGATACTGTCTTACTAAACTTAATAAAACCATTTAATATATTCATTCTTTTGTGAATCTAGTACATAGTGAAAAACCTAAAATGTTTACATCTGTCTACAGACTCACCAGCCACCATACTTTTCTGTAGTTTCTCTTTCTTTCTTTCTTTCTTTCTTTCTTTCTTTCTTTCTTTCTTTCTTTCTTTCTTTCTCTTTCTTTCTTTCTTTCTTTCTTTCTTTCTTTCTTTCTTTTTGTTTCTTTCTTTCTTTTTTCTGCATTAGATATAAAATTCAGGACTTTGCACATACTAGGCAAGTGCTGTCCCATTGCACTACAAAACTAACCCTCACATAATTCATTTACTTATTTATTGATTTTTATTTTTAGTATATGTTTACATGTTACGTTTATCATAGTGGGTGGTAGAAATTATTTCTCTCATTGTATTTCTCCTAATGCCTTCATAAAGACTTTCAGTTCACTGCATCCTTAACATGTGTACTCTCTGTGTCTAGCCCCAGGTTTTCTGGTATCAAATATAACAAAAGAGAAAACTGGTATTTTGTTTTTCTCTGTTTTGTTTTAAATTTTTAATTTTTTATTTTAAAAACCAAACAAGAAATAACAATAAAAATGATACAGAATTTCAAAACAAAATAATAGGTAATTAACACTAGTTAATGTAATGCATATTGTTACCTTCAGAGTAGTTCAGATGACAAGATTTAGGTTTAAAAAATGATCAAGCAATGAAAGTAAAAACTGTACTTGTATCTTATTGTACTTATATCTTGTGTGTGTACATATACATGTGTGTATGTATACACATACACACATATACAAACACATATATACATATAATCTTTTCCTTTCTTTTCTCCATTTCCCTATCCCAGTTGTTGTTTTCTTATTTTGAAAATACAAATTTTTCTCATTTTTCTCTTGATACTTGTTGATATCGTGGAGGACAAAAGTCTTTTGTCTAATGCTTTGCTCAGAAGCTTCTATTGATCTTTCAGATGTTATCTCTTATAAATTAAGGAATACTTGTGGTCACATAATTATGACTTTGTATGCAACAAGATTTCTTTTAAACACTAGATACACTTACTTTTCTAGAGAGAAAGAGATGAAGTTCAGAACCAAATTTTTTTTGTGATGCACTTTTAATTTCCATCTCAAACCATCTTGCATTTTTTCCTGTGTCCCTGTTTCCCCTGTTAAGCCTATTCCTACTCCAGTAAGATACTCAAAGACAGTGCCAGCTTATGGGAGTAACGGGGTTGTGCCATGTTGGTAATTCATCCTCTTACTGCCCCTGGAAGTTGGAAGTCCGAATGGAAAGAGGGGATCTCCAAGATGAGCATTGTTCCCCTGCATCCTTTGCCCAAACCCATCTGTTTTACAGGAAGGGAGAGTAGAGAAGGGAGAGTCAGCAGCCATCCTGCAGCCAGCTGTCAAGTGGAACACAGGAGTGACGGTAGCGCTGCTCACTGAGGGCCCCAGTCCTGCCAGGATGGCTGGTTTTAATTGCTTGCAAGGCTGGCCCAGGCCTGTCCCAGACTCTCGTGAATTCTGCCATGCTTAAGTGATCACAGTAAATCAGCAGACCCTAAATGCTCACTTTCAAAATTTCTGTTTTATGTTACTTTCATCAGAAAGTGCAGAAAGCACTTCAAAAGAACTAATGGCTACAATATCCCATCTTTCCATTTGTTATATCAGCAAGCAAGGCATGTTTTTAAAGGCTGTTCCATTCCTCCACAATACTATAATTTTAAGCACAAACTTAAACATCTGTAAACCTGCAATTTTATGATAAATTGATTTTTTGCTAGTTTAAATTTAGGAAAAATTTCCCAAGTACATGAGGAGCATCATGAACTCACTCCTTGGTCTTTAACAGATGTGTTCCTCTTTGTTTTCCCAGTTGTTACAGAAGACCTTGTACAAATCGCCTGAGGCATTGTGAGCAGGGCCTTTCCTTCAGTGAAGAAGTCTGTCGCTGTGTCCCTTCGTACTGGAAAAGAACACATGTGAACTAAGATTGGACTGTTGTCCAGTTCATCATTTTTCTACCCTGAAAAAAACAAAAAACAAAAACAAACACTGTTACCACATTGGAACTGTCTGTGAACAGAGAGACCTTGTGGGACCACAGTAACAAAGATAAAATTCTGTTTTTTTTTTCTGAACCATGTGGATAATTCCTCAGAAATGGACTGAAGCTCAACTGTCAAAGGCCTCTTTTAAAGACTGGTCTTCTGCCAATGACCAAACAGCTGAGATTATGTGATTTTTTAAAAAAAAGAAAAAATAATGACTATATAATTTATTTCCACTAAAGATATTGTTTCTGCATTCATTTTTATAGCAATAACAATTGGTAAAGCTCACAGTGATCAATATTTTTATAACATGCAAATATGTTTAAAATAAAATGAAAATTGTATTATATACTGGTAAGTTCAGTCTATTACCATCTTCCATTTTAGGCAAAAACTGATACGAAACATTGATCTCCTCCCGCCTTTTTTCTTTTTCTTTAACCAGGTATCAGGTTTTGATGACTATGAAAAAGTAAAAGGAAGTTTAAGAAGGACAACAGTGTGCCGTATCACTTTGGTTAAATGTCCTCAGTATAGTTAATGATTATAAATGTTGTAGCACATGATACTTTCGAATTTACCACCCAGTGAAGCCGTGCAGAGCATCTTATAGACAGTCCACTCAGCATCCCCTCTGAGAGAAAGTTGTTCAGTGTGCTGGAAGCGTTCAGATTTTTCCTGGGTATAAAATTCTTCAGTCCGTATCAAAATGGCTTTAAAATATTTTCTCAAAAATAAATGTTTCCAAATAGGCAATTTCTGTTGCCTAGCTTTTTTGAAAGCTAAGGTCCTTCTACCTAATAATTCTAAAATAAACTCAAAATAATATTTAAATTTTCATATATTTTTAAAATGAAACATCTCAGCCATACAACCAAAGTGCACTGTGGTTGCCTTAGTGTTTGCAGTGCTAAGGATCTGGCTCAGGGCCTTACACATGCTGGGCAATACTTTACCATGCACTATACTCTTAACCTCAATGTTTAACTTTTTAAAAAGGCATCATACTAAAATACTACTCTATTAATAGATATTTTGCCTCTATGAGTAAGATCAAGTAAATGACTTGCTCGTTTCCAGAGAATTAATTGTACAATAGTGTGTGATAGGTACTGTATAAAAATAACTAGGCCTGAAAGAAGAAAATATTCAACCCAAGATATGTATAGATAATTTCTAGAAAGTGGCACATTAAATCTACCAGAAACATGTAATTAGTATAGAGTACTAATCTTCATAATAAATATAAACCCTTAATTTTTATAGAGGACTGCTCATCTATAAGCAATATAAATATTAGTACTGACATGTTTTACTATAAAATAATGTTTTTAAAATATATAATTAAAAGATAAGTGCCCTAAAAACATTTTCAGTATTTTCTGTACTGACTTTTAAAACAGGTTTGCCAGCAATCTTTACTGATGTACTCAGTACAAATATGAACAGCTACTTTAGGAAGTCACATTGTTTCTTGTATTAGAAAATAGTCTTCCAGAATCTTCTCATTATACATCTACACACTATCTTCCAATTTTTCAGTACAGATTAATCTGAAGTCTCTAAGCAGACAAAATATGCATTGTACATTCTATGTTCTTAGGTAAGGTTTGGGTAATTTTAAATCTGAATCAAAAGAGAAAGGGAGGAAGTAAACGAGAGCAGGTAGGTTTCTGTAAAATTCTTCAAAACATCAAGTTATAGGGTGATTGCAGAAGAGAAATTGGAATCAAAATAACCTCTTATCTGATGGAGAGGCATAGAAGGATCATTGTCTTTGAAACTCTCTTAAGGCTCAGTGCAGTAATTCTTCATCTTATCTACCAAAAAATGAAAGCAAACTTTATGTAATCTATTAATGTCAATCCTACAATCATTTTTACATTTGAATTCTATTAATAATTAAGTCAATATTGGAAAAATAATCTAAGTAAGCTTCCTGACACCATACAGAGAATTTTAGGAACAGATAGAATGACATACATGTTAGATTTAAAAACAGTCTAAAATACATTCCTCAAATGCATGGGCAAACCAAAAGAGAAAAAAAGAAAAAAAAAATCAATAGACCAAAAAAAAGCCTTAAGCCTGCTAGGAAAGTGACATTTAGGTTTGTTTCTGGAGTGCTAATAATCTTTATTGAAAATTAAGAATAGCATGGACAAGTACGGTATATTGCTAAAGATTCTTGAAAACAATTATACGTGGAACATAAAAATCACACATCCACACACTATAATGAATGAGATTTTTGTGTAGCCAGTTAAGATGCCTAGACATAAAGCAAAACAGTAGTTTGGAATATCAGCAAATGTGATTCAGCAAAAACCAAAATTATAGTGAAAATGTGCAAAAACTCTGCAAAGGAGTCCCAAGATACTGATACTATTAATCCAGTGGGTAAAGTTGAGAAAATACTGGAAGCTCACAACAAATGGTTAGTATCTCCAGAACTTGGAAAGTTTATAAACAGAATTTTATGTCCAGAAACCTAATACTGTATAGTCAGTTTAAAAGGCTAAAGGAAAAAATATGTTTTGCTAAGAAGTTATATAAGATTTGACATTTACTAACTGCCTGAGTGAAACAGATTCCATTATTAGAATTTTTAAAAATAACTTTTTCCCTCATACCCAAATAACTCAGAACAGAACCTTCAGTGGTGTAGATGTAAGACTGAGTTCTCCCAGAGTGCACTTTAAGGGAAGAAGCAAAGGTTATGAACTTACTTACAGACATGCGCCCTAGGCTTCCTCCACCGATGCCCCCACAGATGCCCTGCTGCGGAATCTATCTCACTCAGTGGGAGAGAGAAGAGACAGACATAGCAGGTGAGAGAGTTCATACTGCAGTGATTGCTTTAACATGTTACCAAAGCTTACAAAACTCCTTGCCTGTGTAAATTCCCAGGTTCCTCTGTCTAGGCAGTGCTGTAATGAGTAAAGGTCTCTTGGCTCATACTTGTTTATATTACTGTGTTGTCCCCAAGGTCTGAACTTTCCTTAAGAGGGTTTACAAAGGATACCTTTTGAGGTATCTGATTTTTATGTAGTAGATAAATTCTGAAAAGTTCTTTAAAATCCCATTATTTCATGCTAAAAAATACATATAGTATTCTCCAAGAACAATTTAAGAAGGTAAAGTGATACATGCAAAATAGTATAATTATGAATTTATCTCATCATCTGCTGGAATTTTTGCTATCCTGCATATTTTTTAAAGTGGGAAGTAACTATATGTGGACAAATAGAAATGTAAACAAAAAAACTCACTGCTTAAAGAGTGTACACTGGTGCATCCACTGTGGAACTCAGTATGGAGATTCCTCAGAACACTAGGATTAGAAGCCCCTTTTGATCCAGCAGAGAGTACCCTGTTTGGTGTCTTCCCAAAAGAACTAAAAACATCATACCATAATGATATATGAATACCCATGTTTATAGCAGCACAGTTTGTAACAGCCACATCTTGGAAACAGTTCAAATGCCCATCACTAATGAAGAAAAAAGAAGATGTGGATTTCTTAATACAATGGAGCACTACTCAGCCACAAGAAAGGATAATCTTGAGACATTTCTAGGTAAATGGATGTTCCTTGAGGCCATACTCTTAAGTGAAATAAATCAGATGTGTAAATATTGCTTTGTCTCTCTTGTGTGAGAAACTGAAGTGTAAATAGGAACCAAAACGTATAAAACATAATGGGACATAGAAAGAAATTGTCCACATGGGAAGGGGAGCAAGGGAAGACAGTGGGGAAAAGGAAGGAAGAGAGAAGAAAAACATGAAACAGGATAAAATGGAAATAAAGGAGGGGGAAGTGGGTTGTAGGAAGGGGAAAGAAATGGGGAAAAAAGAGAAATTAAGTTATATCGTGTACAGGCACTAATTCCCTATCATGAATGTGATCACATGTATATCTAAGTTGTACCAATAAACAGTTTTAAAAAGCATGTTGTATAGGATGATCTAGTCTAAATGAGTACTGAATTGGAAATCATAAACCAAGTTCTTAGTCTTGACTTTTCTTCTATGTCCCTGAGGAATTCACCCATCTCCCTGAATCTCAGCATACTAATTTGTGAAACAAAGGAGTTAAAATTTAAATTGTACATGAATCTTAGCTCTGAAGTTCGAGTTTGAACTAAATGGAGAGAAATTCAATCCAGTGTATTTTATAGAAGTCCAGGATGTATCATTTTGAGATTGGTGACCTCATTAACAGGAACTATTTTCTATTTTAAAAAGTATCATACAAGAAGTTATAAATGAAAAACCCTTCTCCCTTATACTGTCATTCTGTTCTACTTCTTAAATCTTAACAAATGCAAATAGCTCAAAGTATTGTTCTTCCTAAATTTTTTTTTTATTACCAAAGATGGTCACATATGGACACTGAAGAGAAAATTTTAAACATCTTGAAAAAGGAAATGCACAGCAAACATAAGATTTCTTCTGCAATTCTTCCCAACCTCAACAGATGGACATATACTGTGCTTAATGCAGGAAAGGGCTTTGAAGCAGAAATTGATTTCTGCTTGTTGTTACCATCTGGGGTGCTGATGGGAGGTCTGAGAAAGTATTGAGCCTACATTACCAGTATCTGCCACCTACAATTTTAGAAGCATAGATGTCACAACACTCAGATGTGGCTGCAGGTGAGGGCTGATTATACTACAGGCTTGAGCCAGGGCTGTCCATACAACCCATAGCTATTTTGATTTAATAGAAATAACTTTGAGACATCAATAGTTCAAAGCTTCTTCAACATCTACTGAGAAATAAGTGATTTGTGTATAAAGAGTTCTAAATTACCTTAAACACAAATACTTAATTTTAGAGATGTAATTTAGTAAATAATTTTGAAAGGAATTTTTTTTCAGATATTCACTCACTATGACATTAAAACAATTAGCTTGCTGTTAAGTGGAATTTAATATGGAATTTAATTTTTTATCATTTGAAAACAGCCGTACATCTTAGTCTTCTTAGAAAATTAATCTTGCTTATGGTCAGATTTGTATGTGTAGGTTCAGATCAGTTTCTTTATTGACAATATTATCACACCCATAATATATAACATTAATTTAATGTATAAAGAACGTCTTTTCCTTGGAATAAGTTGTGTATCTTCACCATTGGAATCTCACAGAGCATTTCCCCACATATAACAAATGGATCCTCTAGAACACCTTTTTCGTCACACATACTTCCAACCCCAAACCCCCCATAGCACCGTTTTTATCTCTGTGTCCTGTTCATCTTCCTTTCCTTTCTCCACAATATACTGAGAAAGCCACTGCTGAATGACATGCTAACCCAGAAAGAGAAAACACCAGTAACCAAATG